CATTGGCTCACCAAATTCAGTGTGTGTGTGTGGGGGCGTGTCTTTATCCTTCAGTTTCGTCAAGTAAACTGACTGACCTTGATGGAAATGTGAAGGAAGCCACTCCACCCAGCCCCCAACCCTTACCCTCTGCTAGGTAGGCAGCTAACTTATCCAGGATCCTTTCTTCAGTTCAGTGACTACAAGTGTGAGGTCATTCCTTGAAATCAGAAAAGACAACAGCCTGGGAATGTTGATGCCTGGGACCTAATCCCTGGTGTGCCACTAAGTACAGTTTGACCTTAAGAAAACCTTTCTCTTTTGTGAGCTTCTTTCCTCAGCTGAGAAGTCCTGTTGGCATCTAAGGGCTATCCTTGCTCTCACACTTCTGGGCTGCAAAATTCTGCTGAAAGTTTCCACGGTGTCCCAGGTAAAATTGTTGCAGCGGACTGATGATCCCAGTGCAAAAAATTTACCTGGTTCCATTTTGTGAGGAAATTTCAGCACCAAATCCTCCCTCAAACTTACCTGCAAATTCCAACCACCAGGTCAGTGCTCTGCTCTATTTTGGACAGAGTCGGTAGCAGGTGCTCTGGTGCAGATTGTGCAAGCTCCAGGACTCGCTTCCAAGGGTAGCTCAAGGTGTTGGAACCACTCTGCAGAACCCCAGATGGCTTGGGACCTGGTTACCTTAGCAATTGGTTCCCTCCTATGCATGTCAATTAACAGGCAATTAAAACTCTTGATTGTTCGATTGTCAGGCTATTAGTCCATGGGTCACCATGCCACAGAATGAGAGGCAGGGAGGCTTTCACTCCTTTACTTCACCTTTACTTCCAAGTTCCATCAAATTTTGAAACCTTGAACATACTTTCGGCTCTGAGACCTGTCCTGTCATGGGAGTTGTAGAAGAGTTGTGTATTTGATCTTTTTGCCAGTTGATTTGTACATTTGTCATGTCGCTTTTCTTTTCTTTTAATAATTAGAAGCCCTTTCATGCTTCTAGTCACACAGAGAGACACACTGGGAGTATCTGCCTCGCTGATTGTTGCTAACCTGCCTGTTATGTAGACTCACTCAGTGCCTGTTAAGTCTTATTTCCTTCCAAACACTCACTGTTTGCTTTCTGTTGAGAGACAGGGTTTTGATCTGTAACCCTGGCTAGATTAAGTTCATATGATCTCCCCGCCAAAGCTCCCCCACCACACTGGGCACAGTCTACTTACGTCCTAGCTAAAGTTTTGCCTTCTGGTCACAAGTCTAAATCATCTTAATCTATAAAGCTGGTTCATTGTCACTGTCATGGTCAGGTTAGTCTTGATCCCGCCCCCCATGAATTGTAGCTGGAATTAGAATAACTTCACTTTACACATATTCAAGCTAATTATCCTAATCATTTTTTTTCTTCCAAATCCTTGAGGTAGAAGTCACAATTTACATTTTTCTCAGTCTCTGCCTGACACAGGGATGTCTATCGCTGAGGTCTATTTAACAGGAGCTTAGGAGGTGCTACATAAAATGCAATTTGGTAAAGATGGACATTTGGGCATTTGGGCAAGAACATTTATAACCACGTAATCTTACAACCTTAAAGCACAAGGGACCTTCATGATTAATATACTGATTTCTTCCTGTTACAGACAAAAAACCCGGGGAGAATGGGAACAGTAACCTGCTGAAAGTTAAACCATAAATAAATGAAAAGTCTCAGACTTGCAAGCCATGCTCTTCCAACTCCCAGTAGTTTAAACCCTTTTCTCTATGACACATTTGATGGATGATGTGCGTCTGACCGGGGGCTCCCTTGTGGGTTCAGCTGGGCACTTGTGCAGTTGCTGGAGAGAATAACACATTGTGGTCTCCACTTCTACCACTCAAGAGGTACAGCCATAATGCAAAGGAATCATATTAAGTTATCAGTTGCCTTGCCGCTTCTCTTAGTTTTAAAAAGTTGCAGAAATCCATGCTATAAATATTGCTAGCATCAGAATGATTCAGCAATCCCATTCTTGAGATCTAGCCATGACACTTGAGATATGACACTAGTGACATTAATGACCAATAGATATCTGCAAACCCATGTTGTTATAGCACTACTTGCAACAACCAAGGTCTAGAACCAACCATCCTGAGTGTTCACCACTATGGTGTGTATACACAACAGAATGATGCCCCATCTTTAAAAAGGGGGAAACTGACTAAAGCAATAGAGATGAATCCGGAGAATAATATATTAAGTAAAATAAAGCCAGATACAGAGACATAAATATCGCATGAAGAAATCCAAATAAGCTGTAGTGAAGTAGAGAGCAGAATTGTGGTTATCAGGCACTGGGGATAGATGCAACTGGGGATACTGTACAAGAACAGTACGTTCAGGAGACCCATGTGTAGACAGAGGCTGCTTGTTTGTTTCCCGGCCATTCAGACCCAAAATAATTGCACAGAAACTGTATTAATTACAACACTGCTTGGCCATTAGTTCATGCATATTTCCAGCCAAGTCTTATATCTCTATTAATCTATGTATCACCACGAGTCATGGTTTATCTGTAAGGTTCTCTGGTATCTCTCTCCTTCGGCAGCTACATGGCATCTCTCTGACTCTACCTTCTTTTTCCCAGCATTCAGTTTAGTTTTTCCACCTAGCTCTATTCTTTGGCCACAGGCCAAAGAGGCTTCTTTATTAACCAATGATAATAAAACATATTCACAGGATACAGAGTGGAATTCCACATCACCTATGATGACCATAATTAACAGCAATGTGTAGTGTAATGGGAGGGGGTGCTAAGAATTGAGCCAAGGCCTCATACATGGTAAGTGCTGCCAAGTCACACTCCTAGCCACATAAGGGATTTTCAAAAATTTCTTGCAATAGAATTTTAGTGTCTTGCCATAGAATTTGGTAAGTATGTGAAATAATGTATGTCTTTTACTTGATAATTTTAGCTGTTGTACTATGTACACATTTCAAAATACCAAATCAAATATGAATCATGTTTGTAATGTTTACTTTTTGATGAAAAGCAAATTTGAAATATGTTAAGATATAGTGCATTGTAAAATATGTTGTTATGAGGAAAACTGCCATCTTGTGAGCATTTGGTAACAAGGACCAAGTGATGTTAAACTTCCATTTTTGCTGTCATGGCTGGGGCTTTGAGAGGGTTAAGGTTGAGCTATACCTGGTGCTTACAGGGGATGTGGGCATTTCAAAACATAGAGCAGTATAAAAGGATAGAATTGCCAGGATCTGAGAGGCTGGAGAGAGTGAGGTGTGCATGACAGAGCAAGCAAGTCCTGGGGTCAGGGGCAGAGCTGTGGTGGAAGATCACAGAAGCAGTAAAGATGGAGAACTAATGACAGGGAATGAGAGAAAAGGTGGCAGAGATATACAGGGAGGGAAATTGGAAATGACCTTTGGGTGGGAAATGAAGAAAAAGACAACAGAATGTTTCTGTAAAAGAGAGAATTGAAAGCTTAAGTGTGAGGCGAGAGAGAGCAACTTATATAGCGTATGACATGAGCTTGTTTTCATGGTAGACACTTTAAAATTCTTTCTTGTTGAAGAGACAGGAAGCACTTGTGCAGGTGGCTGGGGGCAGACAGGAAGCTCCACAAGGATTCATCTGAGTTGCACATGTTGCTTTGTGGTGGTTGCATTTGTGACTATAATAGATTCCTTGAGGCTCCACTGTCTCTGGTGGATGACTGTATTTTTCCCATCCATGTAAGAGAGACTCTACAAAACTGCTCACTTGGCTATGCCTATTAAGAAATTTCAAAAGCTTCCTAGGAATCTCTTTGTGAAGCAAAATTCAGTTATTAGTGCCTCAACAGTAAAATATACATTAAATGCTTAAATGCCTCTATGCCTCAGTTGCATCATCTGTTAAGGCAGATAATAATAGTTTTATTGTAGCATTAGATAATTATGTCATTATGAATAATAGTACTTCTGTAAGAGGATTATAGTGAGTAAGTAGCTGTCTGTAGGGAGAACAGTATTGACTGTTGGGTAAATAAACCAAGACAGTAGGGAACACTTGGATTGTCAGCACTGCAGGAGGACATGTTGCTTTTGGAGACACAGCTGGGTTCTAAAGCAGGGAAATGATGCATGGGGTCATAAAGAACAGAAGGTCTCCTGAGTCCTAACCAAGGATTCTTCTTATTAGGAAACACACAACTGAGAACACTGAGGACTTTGTAGAGATGCACCAATTCTAGCTTTGATATTGAAGTAGATCATCAGTATCCACAGGGTTGGTGCTGTCCATCTCTTCATTCATAGAGACAATCGGGATGAAATATGCAGAGGGCCCTACATGCATTCACTCAGCAAATGGGGTCCTCGCATGAGTTAAGTCATGATGGCTAAGAACTGTCTTAGGACAGAAAAAGTAGGGCATTGTTGAATGACGAGGAAAGCTTTAGGTGAGGCAATTTTCCCTGTTGTCTTTCAAACCTCGTATCCAAGCAATCCATATCCCTGCATCTATCATCTCTCAGGAAATGCTTACTTTTAAGCAATTATGAGGCCGAGCACTGTGGTAGCACCTGGCCACTGGTGCCAGGGTCCTGCCAAGCTGCACTTCTTTCTCCTCACGGGATGTTGGCAGACAGCACTGTTGAGAAATGCCTCACCTTGCAGAAAAGGCTATGAGGCAGTAAGTTGCCCCACTTGCTAGCCATGTTTCATTTAATAACAGCCGATGTCTCAATATCAATTAAAAGTCATCAGTCACACAGAATTCTCAATTCATGTCCCCCACTGCTCCCTGAATTTTAAGATGTTTGCTTCCTGTCAGCACTATTTTTGCTCAGTTGGATCCTGTTGGGGGCTTTTTAATGTGCTTTTCCTGTTTATTCTTTTTCCTGTTTCTCAAAATAGGAACTAAAAGATAAAGATGAACAATTGTGGCTCACTTTATAGTGACCTTTATAGAGTGAGTGTTGCGTCATCACCAAAGGCTCTCACTCCTGCAATTCCTTCATCACCCAGCAGTTAGGGGCAAATGGCCAGAGACAGGAAGGTGCTTTGAGGCTTTGGGGCTCCCCGAACCCCACCTTACCCTCACTCTGCATGCTCCTGCCCTTTATCACTGCGGTTTCCTTCACAGGAAGTGTGGTTTTCCTAAGTCTTTGACCCTTGCTCATGTAGCTCATTGTGGATAATTCACCGTTTAGCTCTATGATCATCATCAGCTTCTTCTGCTCTGCCCAGGGAAAGCATTCAGTGGCTTGGCAATGAGGGAAGGCATGGAAACGGTGAGAACAAGGAGGCAGTGAGGTTCGTAGTACAGTGGTTGTATTGGGGTATTGATGATGGGCAGCTCACGGCCGTCATGCGGACCTGGAGAGAGTTCTCCCACTCACCACATCTCAGGTCAGTGACTTGATTTTCATCTTTTCTTTGCTCATACGTGTCTCTCACGACACTGGAGATACGTCATATTTTATATGTCCTGCTTACTTGGCGGCTTGCTGGCTTCACTCACGACTGCTGATTCCACCCTTCTCCTTCCCATCATCCTTAGTTTGGTCGCCTGCCTGGATGCTGGTCAGTCAGCATTTTATTAGACCAGTTCAAGTGAATCTTTGCAGTGTACAAGAGGATGATTCCACAGCATCTCCTATTGCCCTTGTCCTGGCGTGGCACTTGCTACCGAGGAAGTTGACCTTGAGCTGGTAGCAATCCTCCTGTCCCAGTCTTCTGAGTGCTGGGATTGTAGGCTTGTGCCACCACATCTGAACTTTTTCCTTGCCTGCACACATAAGGCTATCTCTCTCTAATGCTTCTCCTTTCTTCTAATACCATCAGCGCCCACCTTCACATAGCATATGAGGACGGTTCACTTCTTAATTTAACATCTCTGGACTGTCACTGGCTATGCCATTTCTGTTCAGTTTCACAGCAGAGTTTCCATGTTTTCTTTCCTAGCTGCCTCTGATGTCTGCCATCCCATCTGCTCTTTCATATTCACTGCAGAGTTGGTTTTCTTCACCTCAGCAACAATAAGGCAAAACAATAGATGGGGAGCGGTGACCTCCAGGCTGTGAGTTCTAACAGTTATGTGGTTTGCAGTGTCGTGACCTGTTCACCCACTCAATTCCGTCCTTCCCCAAGGTGTCTTTTACTTACCTTCTGGATTGTTACTCTCTCAGTTCCCTTCCCACCGCACCAGGCAGTCCTGCCTAGCCTTCCTCCTTATCTCTCTAACCTCTGTATGATGGACAGCCGGGCATCACTCTTTCTCTTCGCCTCTTCCATATTGCCATTCACAGTGTTCCCATTTAGTTTCAAGTCCATGTACTAATAATTCTTACATATATAACCCTTCTTATATTTAAAAAAAAGGCCCTGGCTGGTTGATAGCCATGAGAGGCCTGCCCTTTTCTGAAAAGAACTGGCGGAGGAGTGGATGGGGGCAGGGGAGGAAGATGGGATGTATAGGTGAGGAACTGGAAGGAGAGAAGGGAGGAGAAACTATGGCTGGGATATAAAAAGATAAATAAGTAAATATATTAAAAATAAATGTATCTATGTCTGTGTATGGGTATGTGCGTGTGCAGACAGGTGCTCATGAAGGCCAGAATGGTTGCTATCCCACGGAGCTGGGTTAGAAGCCATTGTGAGTTGTCTGATTTCGGTGCTGCGAACTGAACCTGGGTCCTCTGCAGCAGCAGTATGAAGTCCTAACCACTGAGCTACCTATCCAGCCTCAAGTTCTGTAAGCCTTGAGCAGAGTCCTTCAACTGAACTTAATGTTCAAAGAGCCAATGCCCACCCGTGTAGCATGAATTCTAATTGATCTTAATAAAAACCCAGACTCCAGATATAGGGGTGAATGTTGGAAGATCAGAGAAGCAGAGCCACTGGTTTTCACCGCTACGAAATCCTTGGACCTAATGGGGTATCCTGTCTCTACACATACTCAGACTGAATGTCATCTCTATGAAACCTCAAACTGAATCTTAGTCCCTGTCTTCTCCTGCCTTATATTCCTCTCTCTGCCCAGCCACATCACTCCTATCTCCACTTCCCTAGTGCTGGGATTAAAGGTGTGAGCCACTACTGCTTGGCTTTGTTTCTCTTTTAGACAGATTCAATCTCCTGTAGTCTAGAATGACCTTGAATGTTCAGAGATTGGTCTGCCTCTGTCTCCCAAGTGCTGGGATTAAAGGTGTGTGTCACCACTGCCTGGCTTGCATAGCTAACTAGTGGCATAGCTCTACACTCTGATCTTCAGGCTAGTTTTATTTGTTACATCACAAATAAAATATCATTACACACTTAGATTCTTCTGGATGTCTAAAGCACCTGAAAGCTAACATGACCCATCTCTCAGTTCCCTTCACTCCACTGCCCTGCCTCTCCTCTGAGTGTGTGGAGACATCATCTTTCCAGTTTCTCAGCATAGACCCATGCCTGAACTTCGTCTGTATCTTCTGTCTTACCTCCAGGCAATTAACACAATCCTACGTTTAAAACTAATGCAATTTTGGCAACCTCACGGCATCCTTTTTTATAGCGCCACCATTTTTCCTTTTGGTGATTAGCATGGACAGACTCTTAGCTGGTTTTGCTGTGTGTGTACCTTTGTATACAAACATCTGCTGTTTATTCTTCCTCCTCTTTTTCTTCTCTTCTTTTTGGTTTTTAGAGACAGAGGGTTTCTTTGCAAAGCCTCAGATGGCTGGAACTCGTTCTGTAAACCAAGCTGGCCTTAAACTCACAGAGATCGGCCTGTCTCTGCCTCCTGAGTGCTGGGATTAAAGGCATGTGCCACTATCGCCTGAATAGTTTCTTCTTTTTAAAATGGCTTCAAACTGGCTTTCTCCCATCACATGGCATCATCAGCTCTGGCTCCCCTCCTCTCATTTCTGACTGTGGTCTTTCCAGTTGTCCTGTCCTCTCCGTCATGGCCTTTCTCCTCTCTCTCTTATCCCTCCCTAGTCCCCATCTGGAATTTCTGGTTTCCTGTGTTGGAATTGAGTCCAGGGCCTCATCATTACTGGACATTTTATTACACTAATTCACCGTCTCAACTTGCTGTCTTTTGAACGTCCACGGCATACCTTTGTTCTTCTTAGTTTAATCTCGAAATGCTGTTTCCTCACGACTCACTCCATCTCTCTGTTTAGATTTCAAGTTAAGAGGCAGGGTGTGGGGGATGTGTGCCTTTAATCCCAGCACTCTGGAGGAAGGCAGAGGCAGGTGGACCTCTGTGAGAATGAGGTCAGTTTGGCTTATATAATGAGTTCCAGGCCAGTCAGGACTACATAGTGAGGCCCTGTCTCAAAAAAACAAACATATATACAACAAAAAAGATTTCAGGTTAAATAGTCTTCCCTGATTAGATTCTCTCTGTCAGAGCTACTTTCTACCATGCATGTAGGTGGACATAGACTCACTCCCCATCTTGACCCTAACCTTGCTTTCCCTTTTCCCGGGTACTTACCACTGTATCACACACAATGTATTCCTTATTGTTGACCTTTTCTCTAACTTCCCTCCTTCTGTACATTTGATGCATTTCGATTACCCACAACAGGGCCCAGAATATAGCAGCATTCAGTAAATATTTGGTGAACAGATGAATGAAGATGGCTTATACAGTCAGCCCATGATGTGTATAATGGAATGGCTGAGCATTTCCAGGCTTTTCCTGGAACCAGCCTTTCTCACCTTGTGGTTATTCTGGGATGTTACTCTGGAGGCAGCGATGCCTAATGTCATTCTGACCCCATAGCTATAGTTATGAGTCAGGATGGAGAGCCTCAGCCAATGCTTTCATCCCCGGGAATTTGTTACTGGTACAGACAAAAGCCAAGCCTTTCAGTGGCTCTCCAACCTATCTTTCCACAGCTGCCGCAGGTCTTGTGTTCAGCCAAATGGACCAGATGTAGAGGTATCTATCAAAAGAGAGAGCAAAATGTGGACCTGACAAAAGGACAGGTGACAGATGGCCAGAGAAGCTGTATATAACTCAGCTCCCTGTTACCAGTTGCTCCTCACAGCCAAAGATTCCGGCCCCTACTGATACATTGTGAAGCACCAGTGTAGTACCGGCTGTTAATGTCGGTGGTGGGTAAACACTAACTGAATCAGAATGAGCTGTGATCATCTATATAATCTGTTCAATCTCAAAACCTTCATAAGAAACCAAATCCGGTTATGTTGCAAAACAAATGTTTTCTGAACGCTTGACATCTGGCCTCATTTGGCAAAGATGGAGGGCAGCATCATGCGGTTCAGCTAGCCCGAAAGCAAGCAGTCCAACCAACTTCTGGTCCAGCATCACTCTGATTGACTAGCTCTCCTCTTAAAACCCCGTGCATTCAGATGCAAAAGGGAAGGGTTAGATTGGGTGGCCAAGGGCTTGTTTTTCCAATCTAGATGTCCTAAATTGGGCAGCAAATGGAGGGATATTCTTTTTCTATTGATAAATAACTCAGGTGTTTAAACAGTTGTCCTTCCATATCGCTGTCGCAATTGAACTGTTTCATTTATGCAGAACATTTGGCTTCATAAGTCTTAGCGGGAATAAGATGTGTCTCCCGCTATACACGCTGAAACCCCAGTTGTGTTTCTCTTTCCTCTGTCTGGAACCAAGTAACATGACAGCAGCTCAGGCTCTCAGACCCAGCCACCAAGACTGAATTAGGAGTTTATGAGCCAAACAGCAGAAGCAGCCAAGAACCCATTCTCTCTGCAGGTGGCTGCAGCAGCTGCTGCAATCTACGCTGCATCTGGGATCTCTCAGGTTCAAGCTGAAGGTAAAGTGGTGGCAGCATGGCAGCCAGCGCTTGGGGAGGGAGCCTCTGCTTCTGCTACTTCCACAGGGAAATGTCTCGTCATTCTGAGACAAGCAGCTATCTTTGCCAGTAACTCCCCATTATTCAAATCAAAAGCTTGGTTTGGAAGGCCAGATTCAACATGTGCAGGAGAATCTTAGGACGGAATCCTCACCCCAGTCAGTGTGTAGAGATGAAGTGAATGTTGCCAAAGGCTCCTCTAATGCCCCGGAATCTGTCACGGACACAGGAAGAATACAGGAATATCAGAATCAGAGTGAACCTGAGAGACAAGGATGCTGGTATCCTAATATTTCAGAAACCATCTCACCTGTAAGGGGAAATAATTGGTGGAGCACCACTCAGGTAGGTCCAGATTAGAATGGCCTGTGGATAAATCTGTGGGGCATTTTCTTGGTTGTCAAGACCCACAGTGGTGAATCTGTCACACCCTGACTAGAGGTCAGAGAGTTCGAGCTTGTTTTGCTCCTTCAGAGTTGTTGACAAGTGACTACAAACCAAGAAGTCTTGACCTAGAGAGGTTAATTAGTATTTTGAGTACAGAGGTTTATCAGCTCCATTTAGTCA